AGATGGGACGATCCAAGTCTCTATGAGTGATGTAGGGTTTGACACTACACGAGGACTTTTCCTACCATCGTTACTTGATTCTCTTCATTGCACCAAGACCAGCTCAACATGGCAGACGAAGCTATCTCAAAGGACGCCAGCGAGCTTGGACTCGATGAGACCACTGAGACCTTTGACATTGACCTGTTTGAAGGCGGCGACGAACAAAGTGGCTTCCATACGAAGAACGACCCCAGCGCGCCATTTCAGCGTACAAATGTGACAAACCGCAAGGGCGCCATCGATATCAAGTGCAATCTCGTTGATGTCGTCCACGGCAAATTCGACCCCGACGGCGACGAGTACGCGACCCTCATCGTGCTGCTGTTCCGCTTTGACCCGCGGAAGCGTGCCCGGCGCGTGGCCGAGGCGCAAATCTCGCTGGTCTTCGACGGCCTGACAGAGGACGACCCGCGGCCCGTCGTTGAGGCAATTTCCTTCGATGGACGCTATTCCGTCGCGCCGACGACGCAGTCCGAGTCTGTGACCCGGGGAGCGGAGGGCACTCTCGGCCTCAGCGCCATCCAAGGCGCCGAGCTGTCGGGTGGTCTCAAGGTCGAGAAGACGGTGACGCGCGACATGGAGCACTTCACGACTGTCATCGGGTCGGTGGACCTCATCGGCTACAACTACGGCGAGCCCAACTGCGCGACCTGGTCGCTTATCGAAAACGAGGCGCGCGAGACAGGTGTGCCGGCTGCCGTGAGGGCGGGAATCCTGCTGCGACGGACGGAGGAAGAGGCCAAGTTCAAAGCGACGATCAAGATTGAAGTCAAGGCCGATTTCAAGACTTCAATGGAACGCTTCTTTGGTGGCAAGCCGAAGGACGACCCTGTGCTCTTCGACCCCGCGAAGAAGCCGACAAATAAGCTCATGGTGTATGACACGGAGGATCTGGGGGCCTTGGATCTGGAGAAGGTTTCAGACGTCACTTTCCTGACTGTGAGAGACGGTGCAGTGAAGAAAATTGGATCAGCACAGTGAGCTTAAAGCCAGACATTTCGGACCCCTTTTCAGACTGAATGACATCTGAGATCAATTCTCGTTGAAACCATGCAGAATGTCTTTGTTCGTCCTCGTCCACAGCCCTGAAACCCGTCCAAGTCAAGACATTGAGGCTAGGCTCGGCCCGGCGCCTTTCTTCATTGCAAATACCTACCTGCTGCGGGTCTGAGTGACTTGTTTCTGCTACGGCCAATACTACCACATTTTAAGCAGAGCTCGCTCTCTCGAACGACATGTCGGATCATCCCAAACGCTTATCACATTCCTGATTCCCTCCTATGCCCAGGCTCATGGTGACATTGATGCTGACAGTGACCAAAGTCCATCCTGTAGACCCTCTCTCAGGGGGGTGCAACATGACGGTCGAGCTGCATGGCTCAGCTGCCCACATTCAGTTCGGGGTACCCTGGCTTAGCGCTTACAGGTCTTTGTCCTACTTGCCAGCCTTCCAGTGGCATCCATGTCCTACTTACTGAACATGTACACCTGGCCGTCCACCCGCCCTCCTTCAGTGGTGAGGGCGCCTGCAGCAGCACAGAAGTGGGTTAATTATCACTCGGCGGATTTGGGGGCCGAGGAGCGATCACGTCGCCCTTGGCCAGCCTTTCCAGCAGCTGGCTTGTGTTGCTATGCTGGCGAGTGGTCCGTCTGTCGTGCTGCCATGCCGCGACTTGACTTCCGACGCTATACCTACCTGCTCGTCGTGACTGGACTCCAGGTATGAGACGAGACTGATTGTGGCTGTCGCAATGGACACCCCGAAGACGCCGATTGAGGGCAGCACCTTTCTGCCAGTTGGCGAACCGGATGGCGATGAGGAGCACAACATGAGCGCTGTAGAAAGCGAGCTTGACGATGAGGCGGAGAACGACGACGACGAGACCGACGACGATGATGAGAGTCATGCGTCGTCGGAGGAAGACCCAGAAGTCTCAAAACCCATTCAGACAAAGATCTTCGAGGCGATCGAGAAGATCAAAACGAAGACCTACAAGCTCGGCAATCGCGACCAGCGTAAGCAGTTCTTCGACACCTACGGCGAAGCCATGAAGAACCGAACTGAGGACGACGATCTTACATTTCTGCACGTTCTCCTCAACACGCGCGACATACCGGTCAAGACGCTCGAGTCGCCCGTCAAGCACATTGTGCAGAAGTATCCTCGACTGCTCCTCGAGGCTGACCGCGAGAAGAAGACGCCGCTGTACATCGCCATCGAGTCCTCCAAGATGAGCCGCCTCGCCGAGATCATGATCGACGGCTGCAAGTACTTCGACAGGGCCCTCGCTAAGCCATGTCGTGAGAAGGGCGAGAACTGCTTGCACCTTGCCATGCGATCGCGACATCTACCGGGTGCCGTCAAGCAGAAATTCATCAGGCTTGCGCCCAAAGAGGCCATTTACGCTCAGGACAGCAAGGGCTACACCCCGCTCCATTACGCTGTCGAGTTCAAGCGTGCGAACGAGGAGCAGCTCGAGGTTGTCAAGCAACTCATCGCCAAGGACGACACGGCATTCCTCAAGGTCACCAAGGCTCCCGATCCCCGATCGGTGTACCAGTATGCAGAGCACACTCGCCTTACCTATGACGTACCGAAGGTATCGACAAGGACCCCCGCAAGCTCGAGGTCAAAGGACAAGAATGTCGACTCGAGGACGCCGGGAGAGCAAGACGCGTCCAGAGATCAGCCTGAGCCTCAAGTACCGGCAGCGCCCAAGCGTGAACTAGATCCCAAGTCCAAGCGGGAGGCCGAGAGAAAAGCGCGCGAGGAGATAGAGGCGCGACAGAAGAAAGAAGCCAGTTCGCGCCATGGTCAGGGCAGAAACGAGAACCCCGATGTCAAGTCTCGTGAGCCTGTGGGCCCCCCGCCCGTTGATGGATCGCGGAAGGGGGACACCGTCGATCCGTTGATCCGGTCGCTCACCCGCAAAGCTACTGTCACATTTGAGGAAACGGCAAAGGAAAAGTCTTCACGCAAGTCTCGCAAGACGGTCGAAGATCCCAAAGAAGCTGAGGAAACGAAGAAGAAGCTGGAGGAGTGGTCAGCGAAGATCCGTTTGGAGCTCAAGCTGCATTGCATGAGGACCAGAGCTCCGGATAAGACGACCCGGTTCTTGTACGGGAAGAACAAAGCTGGTATGATTCCGCCCTGCCATAGGCGTAGTGTTCTGTGACTGGGTTGTGAAGGTTGGCTGACTGAGTTCTGACGATCAGGCACACAAATATGTTTCGAGTACTTCGGCGCTCCAGCTGCCATTAAGTCTCGAGATTTCAAGGCCAGTTTCGAACACCTTCGCTTTGATGAGGTCTTACAATATGTTGCCTTTCCTCGTCTTGAAGTAGAGCCCAAGCCGGCTCTACACCCGAGAACTAACGCCGCAGACGAGGACTATCCCCTCGAGAACCTAGGACGCGGCCGGACCGACATGATCTACTTCTTCGACTGGCTTCGTAAGAAAAATGTTAAGCGCATTATCAGAGTCATCGTACAGGAGGTCGACAGTCAGCCTTCGCACAGTGACGAGGCTATCGAGCGGGCATTGGCCGGCTTTCAGGTCGAGGCGCTTGACTGGCAGAAGCCAGATCTCGACCCAGATACGATATGTGCCGTCAGCGAAGAACTAAGGGAACTGACGCTCCACTGGCGAGGAAACAATGCCGTGCTAAAGGGCTGGAGTGATAAGGACGGCCTTCGCCGGCTGCGGTATCTGGAGAAGGTCCATATGCACATTCATCGGGTAAGCTCTCTCCTTTGCTTGACTGACAATTCCCCCACAGCTGCCTCCTGGCTACGACAAAAAGGCAGAAGTTAACCCAATGACCCAGGACCTTGAGACCGTTGATCGATCCCTGCTGTACTTTCAAAGGTTCTGCAAGAGACTCAATGAAGATTGTGTTCCAGCCGCTCGAGAGGCAGCGGTACCAACAGACGAGGCTAGACTGTCCATCTCGATTCCAAACGGCAACGGCATTGGTGATGATGCGTCCGAAGTAAGCAGAGATGACCAGGGTGAAAAGATCGAGACATTGGCCTTCGTGCGTCGCAAACCCGTGCAGGTCATCTCACACAACAACGACATTAAAGCAGACGCATCCCTTGGTGCTACACCCTCTGCCTCGCAAGCAGAGGCCAAGGCGCAGGCAACGTCTCATCGCTGGCTTGACACGACTGACAACTTTGCTGACATGATTCAAAACGTGTGGATGACTGCCATGCGCAAGGGTCGCGGGGGGCCAACCCGTGACCAACCTCTGCTGAAGCATGTCGTTGTTGCTCTCATCGACGATGGAGTCGACATGCACGATCAATCTCTCCAGGGCAAGATCCTCGATGGTCAAACCTTTGACCACGGAGACGACTTCCGCGTTCGTCCATACTGGGTGTCGGAAAAGGGCCACGGTACGGTCATGGCAAACATGATCTGCCGCGTCTGCCCCATGGTCAAGATTGTGGCCATCCGCTTGGATACAAGAGCTTCGTCCACTCCGGGCAAGACGAGCATTGTGGTTCGAAGTGCGGCAGAGGTAAGTTTCATCTATATTCATCCTTCTACTCGGGTCACAACTGACACGTTCAGGCCATCGAAGCGGCCGTCGAAAAGGACGCGCACATCATCTCCATGTCCTGGACTGTCGCTCCACCCAGTGACGCCGAGGATAAGGAAAAGTTTGACGAGGCGATCCGTATTGCCGCCAAGCAGAAGATCCTCATGTTCTGCTCCTCCAGCGACGGCGGCCACTATTCCGACACTGACTATCCGAGCGCCAGTGCCCGCGACAGCCTGTTCCGCATCGGCGCCGCCCAAGACGACGGTCTTCCGTACTCGTGGGCTGGGCCCGTCGACAAACTCGACTACATTTTCCCCGGCGTGGAGGTGGTGCAGCGCAGCTCGCGACCAGCACCAGGCACGCTCGCCAAATGGAAGCCTGAAACAGGGTCAAGCATCGCGACCGCTCTAGCGGCTGGGCTGGCGGCGTTGGTGGTGTACTGCGTCAAGATAGGGGCGCTGCACACGCAGAGCAATCCAGGGGCCAAGACGACCGGCGTCACGGCAGCTGATGTTGACCTGATCAAGATGCACAAGAACATGAAGCAGGCTTTCGACGGTATTGGTGCAAGCCGGGAGACGCAGCACAAGTTCATCGAGGTCTGGCGGTTGTTTGAGTCGGCGGTTGGCGAGCTGAGATCAGGAGACCATGACAGTCGCATGGCGGTGATTGCCAACTTGGCGAGAAACCTGGTGCGGAGGTCATGAGCTGAAAAGAAGGCATTAGAGGGGGCAGATACATGCAGTCATGAACCGAGACAGAACAAAATCGATTCAGGATCCGAGGCGGATGCAAACGATCATGTTCCCGACATCAACGGCATCAAAATGCTTCCGAAGAACAAGTCCGCGGGATGTGGCGACTGATTCCGAGCTATGGCGATGGGAGCGACATGGGACCATTCATCCTATCAGTGATGCGGAGTTTGTTTGAATCCGTGATTATCACGAACGGAGGATGGTACAAAATGATTTAAAGCTGAGAACCGTCGCTCTTTCTCGTGAGGGAAAGAAAAATCCTCCTTCGCTATGTTCAAGTGACCCAACAATCAAGACAAATCAAGCAATGGCATCTTCCACGATCCTCATCTTCGGCGCAACCGGCCCAGCAGGCATTTGTTTGCTGCGCGAGAGCCTCTTCCGAAAACACGCCACGGTCGCCTACGTGCGCAATGCCTCGAAGCTTCCTGACGACCTCACCAAGAACCCTCTGCTTGAGGCAAGTTGAACAGCCGCCATCTCGCACGAATCTGGTACCTAACCCAAACATAGGTAGTAGAAGGCCAGATGGACGATGCGGAAAAGCTTAGTCTCGTCGTTTCAAGGGCCGCAGTCATCATTTCCCTTCTAGGACCATCCGGAAGGACCACAGGGGAGTATCCATACCCGGGCTATTACTCGACCATCATCCCGTTAGTGCGCCAGCACTCGGTCAAGCGCATCCTTGTCTTGGCCACTGTGTCCGTCGAGGACAGCGATGACAAGTCCTCCTTCGTGCGTCGCGCCTTGGTGACAGGCGTCAAGTACGGGTTCGCGGCAGCCTATCGCACCAACGTGGCCATAGCAAACGTATTCCGGGAGACTGCCGAGGGTGTCAACTGGATAGTCTTCCGCGTCGGCATGGTTCACGGCGAGCATGACAAGGAGAGCTGGCGGAATGACAGGCAGGGTGCTGTCTTCGCAGGATCGGTCGGCGAGCCTGGCTGGACATGGAACATCAAGAGGGGCGCTTTGGCGAGGTGGCTCATTGATCGTGCTGAGGTTCCGAACGAAACGCTGGCTAGTCGGACGCCTGCCGTGAGTAATCTCAAGGCATAGGATCCGGAACATCGACCAGCGGGGGGCTCAGTAAGGGGTTTGGAAGTCTGAATGGTGGCATTCCGGGCATGGAGTATTATCCAGGTGGACTCGTGATATCATCACTCATTGGAGTTTTGGGAATTTCTTCATGTCTAGCGGGTCACTCATGTCAGTGTTGGCGCTGTTCGTTATGTTAATTCTCCAGAAGCCAGATATGCCGCGACAGCCACTTCATCGATCTTGTCTCCCGGGTTGATGAACCAACATGTATGAATGCTCGCGAACCGCACAGAATGGGTTGTCTGACTTGTGTAGATGTAACATGCATCAGGTTGGCCATTTGATCACCACTAATCGAGAGATATCTGTATAAATCTCCAACTCTACTGCAAGCTCTGCGCACGACAACTGTAGATGAGCTTATAAGCATGGATGGCGAGCCGCCGGGATACTTTTCATCTTGCTTTTCAGATCCTTCCGGCTCATACTCCGATATCAGAGTGTTACTGGGCGAGGCAGCTACAGAAGCCGTGGCCGGAGAGCCAGCAACGTGATACTCGGACGTGGCAGTGCTCACAGGCCTGAGCACGAACGCTATTGAGTCGACGGATATCAGGGAGTCTGCAGCAAACTCTGAAGCGGTCCGCATCAAGGGTCGCCCTAGGAGGTACCGGCACAGCTTTGTAGAGGCATTGAGGATATGCAATAGATGAATCAGAGTGCAGGAGCTGCAGAAGACCACAATGTACATACACTGTGAAATCACTGCCATGGATCGACTGCGATGTGTGCTGCGGGAGAGCTATTCGCTGCCATTACGACTGAGCTCTGTCAGAGGAAATAACCTGGCACTAGAGACAGAACAAATAGAACCAAGATGCAGTTCCATGATCGTAGTCGCTGAGCTCCATAGCGAGGCCAGTTGTAACTCGGCCAAGAGTCACAACTCTCTCGGCATTCCATACGCAGATCTCGAGAGCTTCTCAGGGTATTCGGGAGTTATGTACAAGGTGTGGTCTCGGGTGTCTGCTGATGGCAGCTTATATCTTGCATATGACGAACAGCCTACTTGTCAGTACTTGCCGTACGTTGAGCAGTGCTTGCAAAAACATCTCTGTAGAAACTGTAGTTGCCAAAAAACCTCTTAAATCACTAAGAGAACTATGTAGCTTCTCCTTCAGATATGATGCTTTCAAAACGTTCCATCCCACTGACGATTAGGATGCACACCGAGAACCAGATTCAAGTTACAAAACGAGGACGACTGGCCATTCAAGCTCATCTCCTGAATAGGGTTAGACGAGGGTAAATGTGCAGGAACGACGACATTCCTAAGATCTCTGTCCGAATTGACTGAGGCATATGTCATGCAGGCCCCAGAGCCATGCAACACATGGTAGATCTGAAGCAGTCGCGTACAATACCCTGAACCTGTCGCTGCTAACCCTAACCCAAGTCGATTAGATAAGCCATCCCTTCCGTTGTCAGAAGCAGCAATCACAAGCCAAGAGGCAGGTCCGGCCACCCGCCATGGCGAAGGCGGCGCTAGGCATTCCCAGCCAAGCGTCGCACCCAGCGACCCTCAGCAACCCACCCCCCCAAAGCAACCGGGGCGCTGCCGGTGCCGCGGGAGAGCAGCGCGTTAGACCAAACCTGGCTGCTAGCTCTGCCAATCGGCGCTACCCTCGGCGAGCGGTCGTGTGCTGTGCGATGGCACTCGTGTCGATTTTGGTGTGTGCCTGTCCGCGCGGGCTGTCCTGGCCTAGGCATTAGCTGGTGCACCGGCGCCGGTGTCGCCGGGCGGCCTCTCCAAGGCGCAAGCTCGCAAGAGAGAGGGGCAGACTTCGTGGCCTCAGCCGCGTTTGGCCTGGATCGAGGGGTAGCCGCAAGTCAGGGAAACAGAGTTTGGACGGAATGATGATTAGTTTGCGGGGATTTTTGGTTGCTTCTCTTCTGACATTGATTTCTTGCTTTTTTCTTGCGCCAACTCACTCGTTCTTCGACGGGCTGGAGGATGTCGTGTCATTGCGCAGAGGGCTGAGGTTCCAGCTTCGGAGACGTCGGGGATGTGGGAGGATTGACCAAATGGAGCAGACGACGTAGATGCGGTACGGGCATACGAGGACGGACTGTGACTGGAGCGATGGAACTGGAATGGAGGGGTCGGCTTCAGACGAGAAGCGAGGCCAGCCAGTCCTGACCGCCTGGATGGCCACCCTTACCCCCCCAACAAGGCAGATAGCTGAGGATAGGATTGCCGCCGCCACCTGTATGGTCGCTGCACGGCGGAGGTACAAGGTCATGTGCGGATGGCGGGGTAGAGGAATGTGATGTGACAGTGAGATTGGAATGTAGATTGCTGTCAGTGACGGGATCTTGGGCCGCTCGCTGTTTTCGGTCGGTACATGGTACAGCCTGTCCAGGACCTGAGGCTTTTCGGTGCATCTGGCAAAGAGGATTCGGCAATCATGCCAGAGAATCATGCCAGAGACTACTGGCACTAGAGAGTGCGTGGTTTGATGCTCACTTCGGGACGACGACTCAAGATGTTGGATCGCAGATTGAATGGGCCATCGACGTTTGTTGTGACGGCACGAGGTGAATGCCTATGCGGGTACCTATCTGGCATTGTCATGTCATCGCCGGGTCGGGATAGATGGGCCGGGGTTGTGTTGACTGTCCATGTATGTTACATTTGGTAGGATGGTACGTACGAGTATACGGTTCACTCGTCTCTGGGCTGTTGCAAGGTTGTCAGTCATTTGTCGTCACTCGATCGGTCAATCATCCACTAGACTAGAGGGTCGGACCCGTGTTGTTGGTGGTGGCCTGGCCTTGGCCTTGGCCGGGGAGCCTTTTCCTGGATGAACCCTTGGCGCCTTGGTCTCTTTTTCGCGCGTCAACAAATCATCACCACCACCACGACCCCTTCTTCTTTGTCCACTCTGGTGGCCGTCTGGCTGCCATTCTGTCCGCCAGACAGGCACCAAGCGGACGGCGCGCTGTGGCTGGGGGATCCGCGATGATGCAGCCAGACATACACACACACACACACACACACACTGCAGAACGCACAACGCCTGAGACATGGCTTTTTCCGCCGTGGTGTCTCTTGCGGCCCTGTTGCTTACATTGGGTGCACGTCTTGAGGGGCGGTGTGCTGCGGGATTGCAGGGTGCAGACCAACTCTTCCGTTTGCTCAATAGGCCTGACAGGCTGCGCGCGGGAGTCGTAACGTGCGTGGCCCAGCAGTGGCCAGCAGAGCAGCGGGCCACGATGAGGAGCAGACGAAGACATTCACACGCAGACACAACGACACAACG